TTATACGAAATATTAAGTGCGATAAATATGGAATACATCATAAATGTACCCACCTGATAGCAGCAACAGTTCACAGGATCACAAATCTTGGAATAAGGCAAGGTCAACACCTCTAGACACCTACATGATGTCAAGATCCTACAATCAATATCTATCTCGACTTAAATCGGAAATCACAAGACAGACCTAGTCGAACTCGATTCGACTAAGTAGTTCGTGAAGTCCTGTGGATGTTGGAACACTAAGACTCGGCACTAAACTCGACCAAACCACATAAGGGAGTTCACATAAATCCATCCAAGGATTGACTAAGTCAAACTCACATCAAAACTAAAATCAAGTCGATTCCCAAATTTTCATATAACAGTTGTGTTTGGAAATAAAAATCATTTAATCGCATGAAAATAGAAGGTCAAGTTACCCTACAAATTAAGCTCTGAAAATTCATACAAAATTTTAACTCCCAGAAACATGAAAAATCACAAAGTTTCAGCTTTGAACTCAAAATACCCTATTTTATAAAATTCGAACAGTAATTCAGCAAAAAGGGCACATTAATTCATACTCAGATCTAATGAATGAAACTGAACCTGAAAATTTTACATAGCAACATACAGTATGCCAAAGTCCACTTATAAAAATTTCAGCCTTAAATGATAACTGCTGCTATTTTTAAAAATTCAAACGAGCAACAGCAGTTTATCAAATTTAAATCCAAACTGAAACCAAACGGACTCTACAAATTCCCATATTTTACAAACATAATAAAACACCTAAAATATGACTCTCAGTAAAATTTCAGAATTTTCCATGCAGTAACCGATTTTTAAAAATTCAAACAACAATTCTGCAGATTCAATAAATAAAATATTACCCATATCAAATCAACTCCAAAAATTCTAAATATTTAACACAACACATATAAGTCACAGTGGCTTGACATATTCAAATTTCCGCTCCTTTCAGTCAAGCATGAATTTATTATGCATTTAACAATATTCTGGACAGAACACAATTTAATTATTAAAAATAGCTACAGGTCTCCAAAAATTATGAAAATATTACACAAGGCAGTAAATGAACAGATAACACATCCCTCAAAATTTGACATCGTTTCGAGCAGCGAGCTATTTTTAAAAATTCGAACATCAAAACAGCGATTAACAAGCTCGACAACTTGACAATTAAATCACAACATACAATTTATCGTCCGAGGCCTTTTCATAAGACCAAGGACTCGACATTGTTCCATTATCCACCGACTTACACGCCTTTCGAGGTCTCGTTCGATTTTCGAGAAAATCGAAGAGATCCCGAACATACGAACACAACAATTCATATAATCGCACATATTCACATAATAAATTCACATCATATATAACACGAGCACTTCACGAACATGAACAATTCAACGAAACATATATGAATTAAACGAGACGGAAAAACGACGAGGTACCGTTCTCGGGAATCGAGCGAGAATGGTTCCGAACGGGCTCGACGGTAAACTCGTCTCGCCGGAAAAAGGAAGGCTCGATGCACGGGGAAGAGGAAGAAGTCGCTGCTGCTGGTTCACGGGCTCGTCGGGATGGTCACCGGACGTCGCTGCTCGAGTTGGAAGAAACTCGCCGGAAAAAAAAAACTTCGTAGAGAAGCAGGTCACCGGGAAAAGCTTCGTCGCGAGAAAGGGCCGCTACAGAAGTTGTGCGCTGGAAGAAGGGCCACCGGAGTTCACTTGATCGCGGACAGAGGTTCACGACGTGGGGCGGCTAGCGGCGACGTCTTGCTGCTCGCGACGTGATTAGGGTCTCCGGAGGGTTGCAGACGGAGGAAGGAGGCGGAAGAGCTGCTGCGATGGTGACGAGCGACGGAATTTCTGCGTGAGGGAGATGAGAGGAGCGAGCAAAAAGGGGGGTGATGGTCGGAGAGATAAAGCGAGGAGGGTGATGGGCTGAGAGATCAATTTGCAGAGAGAGAGAGATGACGGGGTCGGGAGATCAGATTAAGAAAATCACAAAGCTGCGTGATGGTTTAGAGAGGGAGAAATAGATACAACACATAAATATACATAGGCTAATGCTAGGTTTTTTTTTCCTGATTTCCAAGCAAAATAATCACGCTCACGATTTGGAGAGAACCGGATTTGGGCCGGACTTTGGCTCGCGGCCCGGTCGATTGGGCTGGTTCGCGACAACGAATTCGGCTCACGGGCCGGTTCGCAAAATAAATAAATCGGTTCACGGGCCGGTTCGCAAAAATAAATCGGCTCACGGGCTCGATTTCGGTTCAAACGAATATTCTCGGGCTCGATAAAATCGCACGTTAAATAAACAAAACTCTAGACAATATAAATTAAATACGTACATTGATTTTAAAATACTAATATTATTAATCAAAATATACATTTGGCAATTAGACATTCAAATTGGCAAGCAATAATTAATAATAATAATAATAATAATAATAATAATAATAATAATAATAATAATAATAATAATAATTCAAATAAACCACAAATAAATGGGGCATTACACTTGAAGAACAACTAGTTGTCTTGAGTGTTCAGTGGCTGGAATTCAAACTATATTGGGTTGGTGTTGTTTCTGTATTTATGAAGTTGTTTTCAGTTCTATGGCAGGTGTGATTTGGAGTTAGTGCTTGCTGATTTGGTGTTTTCAATTATGTGTTCATTCTATGTGGCTTTCTAAGCAGGCAATATGAGCAGGCTGTTGCAAAGAGACTTACTCAGGCTTGTACTGATAGGCTCTTGTGGACTGCTTGCTCAGTGTTGCTTTGTTATAGTGTCTTGTTGCCATTTTCTGTTTTATGTTGTAGGTAGTTTGTTGGAGTTCTTGAAGGATAGTTAAGAGCATGTTCAACAACATAGTCTCCGCTGTTCTTAACTTGGATTGTTGTAGTTCTTGTTTTAGACATATTCGGGTATTCCTCATTGTATGACCGTCTAGTCGTATGACTTGGTCCTATTGGTTAGTACGCCTTCGAACACTGTACATATCTCTTAGTCAATTTAATCTATCATCTCGTTAACGAAAAAAGACTACCAAACATATAATTATTATTTAACAGTGCGAAAACTTAACCCGCCTTTAGAGTGGGTGAAAGTAGCTATTTCATTAGAGCACCCACAATGCTTTGGGTCTCTTTTTGTATATGTGTCATATAATTGGAGTTGAGTCTTAAATGACGTGGACAAACCCAAGTAAAAAACTTCAATAATTTTGCAATGCAAAAATAAAAATACTAGGTCTAGCATATATGTCAACCAATAAAAATGATTTAATATGTTTTATTTTATTAAAAGAAAAATTAAAGTAGGAATAAATAATTAGTGTTTGGGTTTGTACTTGGGTCCAAAATAGACCAAAGTGTGGACTTAATTTCTTTCTTTTATTGTCATATAAGCTAGACCATGTCCACTTTTAAGAGCATCCACAATGCTTTGGGTCTCTTTTTGTATATGTGGCATATAATTAGACTTGGGTCTTAAATGATATGGACAAACCCAAATAAAAAAACTCAAAAACTTTGCAATGCAAAAATAAAAATACTAGGTCTAGCGTACATGTCAACCAATAAAAATGCTCTAATATGTTTTATTCATTAAAAGAAAAATTAAATTAAGAGCAAATGATGAGTGTTTGGGTTTGTACTTGGGTCCAAAATAGACCCAAGTGTGGACTTGGTCTCTTTTTTTCATTGCCACATAAGCTAGACCATGTCCACTTTTAATTGCATTGGGAAGTATTTTTTTATAGACTAGGTCTATTTCCCATGTGGCATGTGATATTTTTGTTAAAAGAACCAAAGCATTGTGGGTGCTCTAATTGCATTGAGAAACATTTTTTTATAGAGCATGTCTATTTATTACATGGCATGTGCTATTGTGGATGCTCTTAGCTATCCGGCTTGCTTACGCCTTCCTTTTGGATCCGCCCGCCAAAGCCCTAACAACCAACGCCGCCGCTTCTCATCAAATCTATCCTCCGTCAGCAATGGCAGCTTCAGCTCCCTCCCCAACCTCCTCCACATTCTCAAAGAGCCCATTTTTCGTCAATTCGCCGAAGCTTCTTTCCGGATTTGCCCTCCCACTCCCCCGAAACCCCCAAAGGCCCACCGCTTCTTCCGCCTCGCACCGCCGCCCGGCGTTCCAAATCTCGAACGTCCTCACTTCTCCCGACAAAAATATTCTCCATGACGAGACTTTCGCTTCCCGTTTCGCCCCCGACGAGCCTCGCAAGGGCAGCGACGTCCTTGTGGAAGCACTCGAGCGGGAAGGGGTCACCGACGTCTTCGCGTACCCTGGAGGCGCGTCCATGGAGATCCACCAAGCTCTCACACGCTCCAACGTCATCCGAAACGTTCTCCCCCGCCACGAGCAAGGCGGCATCTTTGCAGCCGAGGGTTACGCGCGAGCTTCTGGCCTCCCGGGCGTCTGCATCGCCACGTCAGGCCCTGGGGCCACAAATCTGGTCTCGGGCCTCGCTGATGCCCTCTTGGACAGCGTGCCCCTTGTTGCCATCACCGGCCAAGTTCCCCGCCGCATGATCGGCACCGATGCTTTCCAGGAAACCCCCATTGTCGAGGTAACCCGTTCAATCACCAAGCATAACTATCTCGTTCTTGACGTTGAGGATATTCCTAGGGTTGTGAAAGAGGCTTTCTTTATTGCACGGTCAGGCAGGCCAGGCCCTGTTCTGATTGATATTCCGAAAGATATCCAACAGCAGATGGTGGTTCCTAATTGGAATCAGCCCATGCGTTTGGCTGGATACCTCTCTAGGTTGCCTAAGCCTCCGAACGTGATGTTGTTAGAGCAAATAGTTAGATTGATATCAGAGTCGAAAAAACCGGTTCTCTATGTTGGCGGCGGGTGTTTAAACTCAAGTGAGGAGTTAAGGCAGTTTGTGGAGCTCACGGGTATACCTGTTGCTAGCACGTTAATGGGTCTCGGTTCTTATCCAGGCTCAGATGACGAGATTTCATTGCATATGTTGGGTATGCATGGGACTGTGTATGCTAACTATGCTGTGGACAAGAGTGATTTGTTGCTGGCTTTTGGAGTCAGGTTTGATGATCGTGTAACGGGAAAGCTGGAAGCATTTGCCAGCCGAGCAAAGATTGTCCATATCGATATCGATTCTGCCGAGATTGGAAAGAACAAGCAGCCACACGTCTCCATTTGTGCTGATATTAAATTGGCCCTCGAGGGTTTGAATTTGATACTTGAAGAAAAAGCGTGTAATCTCGACTTCTCATCATGGAGAGAAGAGCTTAAAGAGCAGAAGAGGAAGTTTCCTTTAAGTTTCAAGAGTTTTGACGATTCAATTCCTCCCCAGTATGCAATTCAGGTTCTTGACGAGCTTACGGGTGGCAATGCAATCATTAGCACTGGCGTGGGGCAACACCAGATGTGGGCCGCACAGTTTTACAAGTACAATATGCCGCGTCATTGGTTGACTTCGAGCGGGTTAGGTGCCATGGGGTTCGGATTACCTGCTGCAATTGGTGCAGCCGTAGCTAGACCAGGTTCTGTTGTGGTGGACATTGATGGTGATGGGAGTTTTATTATGAACGTGCAGGAATTGGCCACAATCCGCGTGGAGAACCTTCCTGTCAAGATTATGTTGTTGAACAATCAGCATTTGGGAATGGTTGTCCAATGGGAAGACAGGTTTTACAAGTCTAACCGAGCGCATACTTATCTGGGTAATCCGTCTAAAGAGTATGAAATTTTCCCGGACATGTTGAAGTTTGCGGAGGCTTGCGATATTCCTGCTGCTCGTGTGACAAAGATGGGTGATTTGATGGCGGCAGTTAAGCAGATGTTGAATACTCGTGGGCCGTATTTGTTGGATGTTGTCGTGCCACATCAAGAGCACGTGCTGCCCATGATACCCAGTGGTGGTGCTTTTAAAGATGTGATAACAGAGGGTGATGGAAGAACAAAGTACTGATGTTTTTTGTGAAAAAATAAAGTCTCAGCTGAATGAGGTTCTGGTTTATGAATTTCAGGATTGTGACTTGGACGCGTTTTGTATTTGGGCTTTTGGAAGGTTCAATTGTGTTGTTACTTTCAGTAGTGTATGTATTTTGGCCTTTGGGAGGTGAAATTGTGTTGTTATTTTCTTTTTTAGTGTATGTCGTCTGGCTGAATCGTCTTTCTGTGGTGAATGGTATAAAATAGTTTGATGCTTGTGATATTTGGTGTGTGTGATTCATTGCTTAAATACTATGTTGATAAGATGCATGTTGAGTATATAGGTGGACAAGAAAAATTCGTTCTTTGTACATGGATGCACATCAGTAACACAGCGTATTTCATGTTCAGATAATCCTATCGGCCATTAGAATAATTTTTACCTCTATATTTCATGTTTTGCTTACAACTAAACGGTAAAATTCTAACCATACAATACAATTTTTCTTCTAAACACATGGTGAATCCTTAATTGAACAAAACAAATCCTTAATTGAACAAAACTATTGAGTTGGAAATAATCATCTTAATTTTAAACGACCAAGATGTATTGGAGACACTTTGGAATATTGGGTATGTTATTAAATGTTAAGTGTAATTAATTAGTGGTTATGTGAGCATTATTGACGTGAGTAGTTGGCATGATTAATGATTGTTATTAATGTGAGTGGCGGACAAACCATCCCCAGCCAACCATTTCATCCTATTAAATGTTGCTTTCTCTCATCTAATATCTACAAAAAATGATTTAAGATTCACCGCCCCACTAGCTCTCGTTAATAATGTTAATTTGGCCACCGCCCCACTAGCTCTCTTGCTAATAATAATAATAATAATAATAATAATAATAATAATAATATATGCAAGTTGTGGAAAATGAACGCGTAGAACAATTGGCCACTCTCCATATAAATACCTCTTCAGCAGTAGAGGAGAAGACACGAAGAAAAACACAGAGAAAGAAGAGAAAAGAGAGAGAAAAGAAATAATAAAAATATAGAAATATTTATTTGTTATCAATATAATAAAAGAGAGATATTTTTATTTCTATTTTTTTAGTGCTCAATTCTCGACTCCGTTCCAGTTCGCCGGAGCTTGTAAATCTGGTGTGCTACAGATTTAGAGACGTTTGCCATTGTATCTTTGGGGAACACACGGGGCGTATTCTTCTTGCGGAAAGAGTTTTACTCGCCTCGGCTAAAATCTTTCTAATTTTTCAGTTGTAATTTATTTTTCAGTTCAATTATATTTTTCTATTTTTTAGATTATTTGTAAGAACTGAAAAAGAAAAATACATATCAGTTCGTAGGATTCCCGTTTATTTTTACACCCAGATCTAACAATCGCAAGAAGAATAACGTTTCACGTACTGAACTGATGGAATCCACCGGAAATGGTTCCAACACTCAACATCTAATCAACATTGCTATTCATCATCATCCTGTACCTACTGTCCATGTCCCTACTGCTGAGAAGCCCGAAAAATTCAACGGACTTGATTTCAAGAGGTGGCAACAAAAGATGCATTTTTACCGGACAACTTGGGGTTTGGTAAAATACCTGAAGGACGAGCCTCCAGTCATTGCTGAAAATGAGACCAATGCTGAACTACGCGCTGCGTACGAGGCTTGCGGGCAAGGTAATCACCTTTTCCGTAGCTATGTCCTGAACGGACTTAGTAACGAGTTGTACAATGTGTAAAACTCGGTTGGTTCTGCCAAAGAGCTTTGGGCTGCTTTGGAGAAGAAGTACAAGACTGAGGATGCCGGGGTGAAGAAATTCGTCGTCGGCAAGTTCTTTGACTTCAAGATGGTCGACTCGAAGACCGTCGTGTCCCAAGTGCAAGAGTTTCAACTTATCTTGCATGATATCCATGCTGAAGGATTGTCTCTGAGCGAGTCATTTCAAGTTGCGGCTGTGATTGAAAAGCTGCCGCCGGATTGGAAAGACTTTAAGAACTACCTCAAACATAAGAGAAAGGAGATGAGTCTTGAAGACCTGGTTGTTCGTCTTCGTATTGAGAAGGACAACCGTAATTCATCGGGGAAAACCCCGATAATGGAGGCTCGTGCTAACTTGCTAGAGCAAGACAAATCGAGCAAGAGAAAGTCCCTTGACAAAGGGAGGCAACCAGCTAAGGTTTGGAAGTTTACCGGCACTTGCTACAACTGTGGAAAGTCGAACCATATGGCTAAGGATTGCAGGAAGCCTAAGAAGGCTGGGATAAAGAAATGGCAACCAAGTGCCCTTTTAGCTTAACACGGCCCTATGCCGGGTGAGTTGACCGACTTTGATATGTCGATAGTGGTGTTGGAAGCCAATATGGTGGATAACCCAAGAGAGTGGTACATCGATACTGGTGGCACTCGTCATGTGTGTTCCGATAAGGAGGTATTTTCTGAATACACTCCTGCTAAGAGTCGGAAACTTCACATGGCAAACTCCTCCACGGTTGATGTGGCTGGACTGGGCACTGTGGTGTTGAAGCTCACTTCTGGAAGAGAGTTAAAGCTTAAGGATGTTCTGCATGTCCCAGACATCCACAAGAATCTGGCCTCCGGATCTCTTTTTGTTGAACATGGATTTAGGCTAGTATTTGACGCTAAGAAGTTTGTTCTTAGCAAGTTTGGAACATTCTTTTGTCGTGGATATCTCGACAAGGGTTTGTTCAAACTAAATGTAATGGCCGTGAGCCGTGTAACCTTTTCCAATGAGAATGAAAATCCTATTTCTGTTTATACCGTTGAGTGCTCTGATTTATGGCATATTAGATTGGGACATGAAAATCTAAATGCAACTAAACGGTTGATGAATTTAGAATTAATTCCTAATTCTAAAATCGAATCACATAAGAAATGTGAAATAAGCAAAAATGGCTACGTTGCCTTTTCACTCGGCGGAAAGTAGTACTGAACCATTAGGCTTGATCCATACTAATGTATGTGATATGAAAAGTGTGCAAACAAGAACTGGTAAAAAGTATTTTATTACTTTTATCGATGATTGCACAAGGTTTAACTACTTATATTTGTTAAGAAGCAAAGACGAGGTTGTGGAAGCGTTTAAAATCTATAAGACCGGAGTTGAAATCAACTCGGCAAAAGGATTAAAATAATTCGAAGTGATAGGGGTGGGGAGTATGTAGCTCCTTTTGAACAAATATGTTCTGAATATGGCATAATTCATCAAACGACGACCCCTTATTCTCCACAGTCGAACGGTGTTGCTGAACACAAGAACCGTACTTTAAAAGAAATGATGAATGCCATGTTGATAAATTCAGAATTACCCCAAAACATGTGGGGGGAAACTGTTTTAACTGCAAAATCATATCCTAAATAAAATACCACCTAAAGGGAAAGATGAGACTCCTTATGAAAATGTGGAAAAATCGTAAGCCGTCTTATAATTACCTGAAAGTGTGGGGGTGTTTGGCTAAGGTTTCAGTTCCTGAACCCAAACAAGTTAGAATCAGACCAAAGACGGTCGATTGTGTATTTATTGGATATGCGTACTGAAACGTAGGTATTTTGTCCTGAGTGCGCTCAACGTTGTTAGAACACAAATAAACAACTAGAATAGCGGAAGCAATAAACCGAAGATTTAAAAACTCTTCAGGGAAGCGTCCCACTTCCCCTCAGAGCTCTTTCATTGATAACTCGATTGTGCACATGCGTATAGTTTTGGAATTACAGCAACTAGAACTCCCTTCTAGCCTAACCAACAACTATACTCGAATCTACCAACTACTTCTCCGGCCATGTCCCGTGGACTTTAAATAACACTTAATCCCTAAGTGCTGATCACAATAATGTTTGAAAAACAAAGAAAATAAAACAAAACGACTTCAGTTCTTCGATATGTAAGAACACCGAAAACTGAACTGAGAACTAAAATAAAAGAAGACTTGAAGCTCGAATAGTATATGAATAATAATGATCTCAGCAGCCTTGATTCGATCTTCAAGTAGGGTATATATACAACTCCTTAGGTTTGGAGTCTTCTCCAAGTTCTTTCCTTCTTTCACGATCTCCTTTGATCTTCTTCCCAAAAATAGTGTAGTAACATAGAAAGTAAATCTTCCTTGATTGTATGTGATTTGGAGATCTTCAGAATTGATTTTCCAATGGAAATCTTCGTGGTTCCAGACTCGTGTAAGAACATAACTTTCCTAAAATAGCCGATCTTCCAAATCTTCAAAGATCTTGTAGTGAATCTTTCCAAATCCTCATTAGATCTTCTAGATAACGTCCAGAATTTCTTATACACGAATTGCTCATCCTTTCATAGTCTTTGACACCTATTCCTTGTCCTACAAGAGAGAGAAAACTAATTATGACATAGAATCAAACTCATTAATGCATGTGGCATATATGGTAAGTACATATATAGGATATATATTATGTAATCCTTCTCCTAAAGGTTTAGGATTCCATAATACATATTATAATAAATATATAACATATATTATAAATAATAAACAATAGGAACTTAATTAATTAACAAGTAAATAAATAGAAAACTTCCCTTTAATTTATTTTGCTTGCCTAACAAGAAAATCTTCTAGAAAACACTTAGGTTTTTCGGATGATGCCAAACCAATATTCTTACACGTACAATAGTACAACATATAGATTGCTGGTTCATAAATCAGAAAATACAGAGGTATCTGTTGGTACCACGATTGAGTCGAGGAATGCTATATTCTTTGAGAATATTTTTCCTCTGAAGGAAGTGCAGAATCAAGTTCTAGTAAACGAACGTATGAAACTGCTAGTGGTTCTGTACCAGAGGGTACTGATTAAGAACCGAGACGTAGTAAAAGGATAAAAACGGCTAAACGTTTGGACCGGATTTTATTACGTATATGTTGGACGATGAACTGAGTTCCCTTAAGGAAGCTCTGTCCAGCCCAGATGGACCACTCTGAGAAGAAGCTGTAAATAGCGAAATCGAGTCCATTATGAAAAATC